CTGGTGCCTTTCATTTTATTTATTTGTATATTTTCTCTATTGTATATAATTGTCTTGTTTTTAAGTAATTAATAAATATCAAAAAACTTATTGGACATTTTTCTCGGCTGCAGCTTTTTACGGCACTTCTCAAAGAAGCGTCATTAGAAATACATCAGGAGCAAGCAGTCGTCTTTGCTTGTCAAAATGGCGTGTTGGGGTCACGATTGACGGGCTAACGGTGTAAATATGGAGGCCATTCTGACAACGTTAACACTAACTGCACATCTTTTCACCCTGCAAACCAGAAGCATCTTCTGCTGTCTTTATTTATATGGTTTTACAGTATCATAGATTTTAACATCGTTTTGTTTCCTCCAAAAATAGTGTTGTATATACATATGTATTAATTTAATTTATCTATATATATTCTTTTTTTGTAGTTGTTTCTGGCAGTTCCCACAGATATGTTAATACATCGCACAATAAGAGAGCAAATTTGAATGATCTACAACATTTTCTTCCTGATTTAAAAACAGGCTATAAAATTCAATCTGATGGAGAGAAATGTGCTTGTGCCTTTAAGGACTACATGTTGCAGACGTGTAAACATGTGTCTAACCTGATGACGTATGCTAATTTTGAGGTTATTCTGAATGCACCACATTATTATCTGTAACACATATTAATGATGAGGTTTTCAGAGGTGTACTCTCACTGAATAAATGACCTCAACGTAGGCAGTCACCTTTACGCCCACTCTGATGCTCAGACATCGAAACTGATTCAGCTTTGCTGTGCTCCGTGTTGGGTCGTGAATAAGGAGAGGAGTTCACATGCTGTCTCTGGCTACCTGTGTTACGAGTATAACGAGAGACAAAAACTACACAAGAGTACTTTAAAAAGGCTTGTTATCTTTACAAAAATTACTAAAAGAAAGATGTGAAAATATTTTTAGCAACAATCTGCACATTCTTCATTCAGCTCAAGCAAGATAACAAGTGTGTTGTTAAAATGAATTATATATCAAGAAAAACATGTTAGCTTGGAAACCACAGCTTATAAACTTTGTTTATAAAGCTGGTAATTCAGGGCGTCAAATAAATTAGTTCACTTTTAGATTTTCTCCTCTGGCCTGTAGTATTATTTATGTTTCTACAGGTGAATGCTGGCTTTTCTATTCTTTTTCTTAGCTAAATGTCTTTAGTGTCAAGGATCCTCTGCTGTCTTTATGAGCTAAAGTTAGCGTATGATTCGTAGCCACTGGTTGAGCTGTGTCTCACTATCTGAAAAACAGAGTTTGAAGCTTTTTTTTATATATATTTATTTATGATTTTCAAGAATAAACAGGCAAATTACGGAGTTTGAAGCTTTGCACGTGACTCTAACTTCAAGTTTTGAACTAATTTCAGGTGAATGGAAATGACACGTTGTTGGTTGGAAACAGATAAATGTTTGTTTACTTCAGATTCAGATCAGACTCTAAAAACACTTAGCTTCTTATTTTAATTGGTCAAACACCATATGTAACTTTAATATGGATTAATATTAAGGTACATTTGTGGAAACAGATTTAGCTCAATGCAGAAGCTAGCAACTACAGTCTTCGCTCTTAAAGGTTCAACCAATCAGTGCCAAGGAAGATAAATGGCGCTTCTGGATTGGCTGCTTTTGCAGACGCCAGCCAATACAGAGAGCGTCAAGTAGCATTGAGCCAGGGTATGTCAGCTTCCCAAAATGCATTTTGTTTAGAATATTTTAGGCACAAGTCCACAAATTGGCCAGATTTCCATGAATAATTTGTAGTTGTATAGAAATTTCTCTCATTTGCTCAAGTTATATTGAAAAAAATCTTCTAAACAGAGAGAAACCACCAAAAATATGTATGCTTTTTCCTTATCCAGTAAAAGACTTTGCCTTTTAAAGACTTATTTAAATAATTTGTTCATTTATGCATCACTTTAATTCAAAATGTGATTTTTAAAAGCATGCTAAAAGAGGTCTCTAAATACACAGCCTAAACTTATAAGGCCTAAAAGATTAAATTATTGAAATTAGTTGAAGTGAAGGTCGTTTCATGTCATGGTGGTGGAGATTTTTGGATGTGGGACATTTTGTAGGTCTGCTTATATTTTTCTGTCTGTTTCGCATCAGAACACAAAGAGCATTGTCTGATTCACTTCTGAAATGGACATCAATTTACTGAAGTATCGTGAAATTCTCATAAAAATGACCTCGACATAGTTTAAACCATGTTTAGGAGTTTAATTTCTTGAGTTTGATGCAGCCTTTTACGGCTATCAGGAAAATATTTAACTGTGATACTGTTGCTAAAAATTGCAATGATGATATCGAAACCTCTTCCTACACATTGGCCACATCGCAGCCGCTAAAAATAAAGATTAGCTGTGAGCATTAAAGGCACAACTGACCACATATATTATGAACGTACAATAATACTTCATTGTCAGTCCAAAAGCTTTGAAGCAAGATTGTATTTATACAAAGCAGATCAGACGCTTTGCAATAATTATAAAGTACTTTCTTTAGAGGAACCTGATATGTGAGCTGTTTGCATTTAAGCTGCAACTCTCATCCCTCCTTTACGGTTAATATTTATTCCTCAGTGGTGTGATAATACTTATGCATACCTAAAAATACATAAGGAAAATTGTGCGTACTTGTGCTGATTTTTACAGATTTCCTCCACAAAGAAAGTAGAATGAAGTTACGTTGCAACAAGCTCACTGAAAAACGCACTAAAAACGTCGATACAGCTTTTAAAAAGAGTCATGGACAGCACACAAATATAAAATCAGTCGACAATACATATTCAAAATTACTGTGCAGGACAAAAGTTAATTGTGCTGAAAACGTTGATAAGACGTGCAGAGAGTCGTAATCTACAGAGTAGCAGCCATTTCTGTGCTGCTCGGCAGTCAGAACCTTCTGGACCCGAACGCCGGGCTACGTGTCGGCTACCTGAGGGAGGGACTGAGATCGGGTTCTCTTGGAAGTCACTTCATAATTTTGGGCCTTTATGTTTGTATTTTTAATGATATAATCCAAAATACTCCTCTCTCAATGACATAAACAGGATAAATAAAAACATACAGCATACATCCAACTTTGCAAAAACATTTTCCTTCCTTTAAATTTTTAAGTTTTACTGTCAGATATCCTCTAGAAATAACATTTTTGCTGTACTGATGAAGTTGCGTCTGACACTTTTTTTTTTTTTCTCCACATAATGAGTAATTGTGCAAGGCACTTGAAAGATGCAGGGATTTTTTTCACACAGCCCCCAAAATAACTGAAAAGAAGTGAGACCAGGACCAAGATTTTGGTTCACACTACATGCAAGACGAACGCTGCAACACTTACAGATGATTTGACGGTTAAAAAAGGAAAATTGTAAAAAGGTTTCCGTGTATTTGAATGGAATGGGTTGAAATGGGTTCATCCTTTGACTTCCTCGTTTAGAGTGGCAGGCACGTCAATCAGCGTTTCCGTTACAGGTCAACCATTACGTCTTTCTTTTTTTTATTTTCCCCCGTTTGTTACCACAATGTAAAATCATTTGTGTTTTATTAGCTTTTTTCATTGCAAATCATTTTCTCTTAAACACCGGTGTGCTTGAAGGCTGAAAAGTCACGTTGATGTGTCGTGTTTACGGATTGGCCTATTGAAAAAGGGACAATAATGTTGGAGATAGTTGCTCCAGCAACTTCTGCAGGTCAAAACTGGTTGCCAGTTGAGCTACTGGTGACTGACTGAAGCTTGATGATAAACTTGAATTCTGCTGATTGTCTTCTGCAAGCTGCAGCTGTTTCACATGAGCATACGTGCAGATTTGACTCCCTGGTTATCAGTCAGACATGCTCAGGTGAGAGAACGCCGTTTAAAAAAAATACATGTACGTATTAAATATGTAAGTAATTTAGTAGCAGTTCAGACTCAGCAAAGTTAATAAAAGAAAACAGTTTTAATATTATCCAGAAATTAAGGAGACGACTTTTGATCTGCAAGCAGCAGAGAAAATCAAATTAACACTAATAAATTAGGATTTATGTTTACAAAACAACTATAAACCTGAGGATTTCAGAGCATCTCCATCCATCATGCCTCATAAAGCAAAAAAGGAACGTTTAATCTGAAGTTTGACAGCTAATATTTGAACTTTACCTAAGTTTTTTTTATTATTTAAAAGATAGAGAAAATTATTTTTATATATGCAATGGGAATTAAATAATATATAGTCATAATAAAATTAAATAAATGTAAAACTATATGTAGAAAACCGTTTAAATAGTAAAATACACTATAGTAAAAGCTTATTTAGCTCTATTTTCATATTTATCTTTTAAATCAATTAATAAATATAAGATGTATTTTTTATTACTATTTTAGATTTTTTTTCTTGCTGTAAAAGACACGAGACTTTAAAAACCGATGCAGCTCAAAAACGATGAACACATAAATGCCAAATGTCTCCAGTTTGTCTGTAAACCTGCATGTCTGTGACAAAGGCCATCAAATTCACTCCAGTACGTCTGGACTCGCTGGTGGTTGAGCTTGAGGTTGACTGTGTAGGTGTTTAAAGGTTTTTCTCTGCTCGTTAAGGCTGAATTAACGAGTGCAGAGAGGCGACATGTTTACAGGTGCGTGCTGCATGTGTGAGTGGGTGGGCGAGTGGGTGGGACCACTGGGTGTGTTAGAGGGTTCCCTGAACCTCATCGTTTGTCGCCGTCTTCTTCCTTCCTGTTTCGTTCTTTTTCACTTCCTGTCAGCTGACTCAGCCCGGGAGAGTCTTGATCTGGTAAACATCTGGTGCCTCTGCACACACACACACACACACACACAAAATGTTAAGCGTAATTAAGGCATAGAGGTGGAGAAATTACCCCGCTGAGATAAATCACAGGATGTTTCACGTTGCTGAGAAAAGTGACTTAAACGCACAAATAATCAGCACCAAACTGGAAGTCGTTTTTTTTTTTTTTCGTACTTTTATTTGAGAAAGAAGAGATTTTTTTGGTGCATCTTTAGGTCAATTTAGGAGGAAACTGAATAACACATAGATTAAAAAAAAAACAAAGAAGAAGAAAGAGAGGACAACAAACGCTTGGTGAGAAAGAGAGACGCAGCGATGTGGGGACGGGCAGATAGACGGAAAGATATACAGAGAGCTGGAGGTGGGGGGCAGAGAGATAAAGATAGCTAAAAGGAGGGAGATCCGTCAGCGTTGTTTCCTCAGGATGTGGTTATCACGACGACGCAAAGGCAGTAGAGGCAACATCACTACCCGCTGGTCCTCTTTGACACCTGCAACAATGTGTAAGTATGAAAGTCAGGGTGTGCGTGTGTGTTTCAGTGTGACAAAAAAAGAAAAAGATGTGTGTGGCCTATGGTTGGTTTTCTATCCATTATGATGGGTGTGTGTGTGTGTATGTGTGTGAAGACACAAATAGGAAGGACTGAAGCTAAAGGTTGAAAATCAGTTGAGACAGCGAAGAGCTGAGGACCCAGAGACAATGATGAGGACAGTGAGAAGGCGAAAACATGAACAACGGGAGGAGAACGTATGCGAAAAGGAAATTAAGCGCCAACGACTGGTAAAAAAGAATGTATACAGTGTATTTGTCTCTTCATCGCTTCATCTGACTTTGTTCTTTCTCTTTCTGACTCACTCGGTGTCCTATTTAGAACAGAATGTGGTTTCTTAAGAGACGATGAAGAAAAAGACAGCCAGGAACTAGATGCTTAGAAGAAATAAGTAAACGTTTTACATTTAAAAGCTCAAAGATTTGCTTATATGGAAACGGCGTGAAGAAAAATATTTAAATCAAGTTTTCCTGAATGGAAGATGATGTTTGTTACATTTTTTTTTGTTGTTGTTGTTGCTTTTCCCGCCGCACGACTTTGTGTAAACAGCTACATTTAATTTACAATCACACCTAACAATCTGATTCTTTTGTTTCAGTCTTTTGAAAAAGAGCTGATGAAGCGTAAATTTTCAAATTAATTTTAAATGCAACACCAACCATTTAGATAAATACATTTTATATGTTTTCTGTGTAGCAGGAATTGAAATTTGGTAATTTATTTTGCAGATGATAATATCATCTGCTATTAATGGCCACAGTGTAACTTTTGTCCCTAATGCTAGAAAAAAAGCAAAAGCCATCCTTTTTGACCTGTCAGTTGTACTTTGTGTGCTTTTAATTTAAAGTCTCCTTTTAGCCATCACAACCTGAAGTTTGACTAAACACTCAGCCTCAGTCATATCCTTTAAGTGCACAAATCTTTGCAGCTGACTCTGGATCAGCCGCAGTCTGTTATCTTGAAACCACTTGAGTTCATATATTATTTAAGTTTCGCCCTCATTGGTTGGTTAAGCGTTTGGCCGGATGGTTTGACTTTTGCGCCCTCAGTTTCCATCACTAGCATGTTCTAAGATCACTCCACATTCTGCCTATTACCAGATACAAATTTGGGTATTTTTTGGTTTTGGTAAATGCAGGAAGTTTTCCTTTTTTAACTGGGGTTTAATAATAATTTCCTGATTACTTCTGTTTGGCTCCAGATCCTGAATTGAAGCGTGGGAACTTTATGGGAAAGTTACTTCAGATGACTTGCTGTAAAAAGGAAGCACGCCGCTGTCAATACGTGATCTACTCTTTACCAGATTCTCTTTAAAAAATCACAACACAATGGATAACTAAGCAAAGTTGAAGCAAACAATTTTGCCATAATGGAGAATTTTGCGTGAAATTTCTCAAATCCCCTAATCCACACATATGCAAAGGGGATGTACTTTAATTTTTTCTTGACCGTCGTTTGAGATTAATTTGGTTTGTGTTTATGCATGGTTTCTTAGATTTTCCAGAACACCTTTGTTGTTGCTTTTAATATTTATTTAGTGGCTTTTTTGCTAATCTTTCATTGCTACATGTGTATTTCTGTAAAAACATAACAAACTTTGAGAATATTTCATGATAAAGACGACCAAAACTACGTTTTACTTCAGATGGACTACTTTCAGTCTTCTCTTTCAAAGCTACACACAATTAAATAAGCTGTAAAAGAAGCGTTTAAAAAGCAACCGACGAGCTGCATCGTGGAGAACTAGAAATGGTCATTTATGCACATAAAGTCTTTTCTTTTATATCATTCTTCTTGTCTTGTGTGCATAATATCAAGTTTAATGAGTTAACATAGAAATCAGTGGGACTCCTTGCAGACTTTTGGAGAAATAGGTGAAACATTTTGAGGAAATCCAAATTTTTTAAATATATGCTTTTCTTTTTTTATGTTGTCTAATGAGCCTTTCTGTTTCCTTGGGGTATAAATGAAACTATATTACTGTTGCTGTTGCATGCGTGCAGATTTTTGTGAGAATAGAACAGAGATATCTTTAATTGCCCCACAGCAGGGCAATTCATGTGCAACAGCAGCAGGTTAAAGGAAGGTGGAAGCATGCAGATATAAAAATAACAATAAGAGGTGAGTGGAGTGATGTAAAGAATGAAATGTACAGGAAGAAGAGCTGCTGGGAGGAAGGATCTTCGATAACACGTCTTTGTGCACATAGGATGCAGCAGTTTGTCAGTGAAGGCGCGTTGGGTGGGAGTCATTGTCCAGCAGTGATTTTATTCTAGCTACTGATTTCTTATCCCTAGACATCAATTGATTTATTTATATATACAGTCATAATATTAATTAAAAAGTTTACAACTACGAGAACTGCAGTTTATTTTTGCAAACAAGCTGTGGAGAGGAAGGTAAATAAGGCTAAAGAAATCTCCACCTTACTGATAAAAAATGTATTTTAACTTAAAATGATGCTGCTGGAATAAAAGATTAACTTATTTTAAGTTTTTTTATATACATTTCTACCAATAAATACCACACGTAAATTGTACAAAGTGAATAAATCCTTAAAAATAATTTTTTATGTCAAGTTACAAATCAGTGAAACGTTGTTAAGATTAGAAACTTCGATTTGTTTGAACTTAATGTAAAGTATTTCACAACGTAAGCTAACACTTTTGTCTAATTTGTACAAGTCTTAAACCAAATATGCGATGTCCTTCTGCTTAATAAATAATATTTGTATCATCAGGCATTTATGCAAAAACTCAAGTTGTAGAAAACTGATTTATGAGTATTTTCTGACTGACGGGACAGACAAAAAAAATAAGTGTGATTTCCTACAAGAAATGTACATATACATGCTTAAATCCAATAAACATCTTTATCCAGAATTGGAGGGGTAAAAATGCTGTGCTTTTTCTTTACATTGATGTATCGTTACTTTTACTTGAGTAAAATTTCTGGATTTTCTACCCACTGCGAACAAATTCACTGAGTGAAGAAGAAACTTGTACTGACCTAAAATTCACCAGACACAGACACACACCTGCAGTTTGTGTTAAAATTTCATAAGTCTTATATTGAAAGTAATTGATTTAGAAAAAAGAAAAATTCTCTTGCCTGATTTTGTTTATTTGTAATTATGATTAATTATTTTTGGTTTGCTCTTTAAAGTGCAAAAATGTCCACTTTTTGGTCTGTCTGGTCATGTAATTTTAAAATACTGAATGGTTAATATTTCGATCAGTTAGTACTTGAGTAGGCTTTTACTAAATACTTTTTACTTGAGTAAGAATACGTTGAAGTAGTGCTACACCTGCATGACTCTCCCTAAATTCCTCTGGTTATTCTGTTTCTTGCAGGTGTTCTAGCACAACCAAGCACACTATCACCATGGAGGGTCGCTCGTCCTCGCAGTCCTTCTCCAACCTCCAGCATCATTGCCACCGTCCGACCTCTTTCCCCTTGACCTTATCCGGCTTTCAGAGCCCTGATGCCGGGTACCTGTCCACACACTCCGCCCAGGACTCCCACGACCAGTACAGAGGCAGAGAGGAGCAGTCCGCGGCCTCCTTCCTGACATCAAACACCTCGTCTGGGGTGAGGAGGGCGAGCAGCGACAGTGACAGAGTCTTCCTCACCACCAGCGGGAGTAGCTTGGATGGAGATGCCGGTTTGGGAGGAAACTTTGATGGCGAAAACAGACATGGCGGTCATTTTGACGACTCATGGTACGGCAAAAAGGGGATCTGGGACGATGGGGAGAGAGAAAGTGCTGCGGATGACTTCCACAGCAACACGAATGATGTGTTTTGCACTCCTGAGGAGGGAGACAGGTGGAGAATCAGGTCAAACTACAACAGTTATGGACAAGGTGAAGCCGTTTGTAGCAGGGAGTTTGGCGCGAGCCACTTCGGTAAGCAAACTATATCCTACAACAGGACGGAGTCAAAGCTGAGCGACCGCTACGGAGGAGGAGAGGAAGATTACGGGTCCAGCTGCGGTTCGGGAGAGGATCAGCTTCAGCCGGCGGAAACTGAAGGGTCGTGGCACACCGTGTCACCAACAGGGGAGGCAGAGGTCGGCGGTCCGGCGGAGCGGAGGTGGAGAGGAGTGGCAGACGCCCACAGCTTGGGCTCGGGATCACCTGTGGCCATCAACACTCAGAAACTGGACTCTTTCTCTGACGCGTTCCTCCCCCAAAGAAGGAGACGATTCCAAATGCCTCCTGAAAGGGATTCTGGACAAATCTGGGAGAATGAACTGGAATCAGTAAAGTTGAGGCATAGCTGCGCTTTCGACCAAGACACCTATCTTCACCCCTCCTCCTCCTCTTTGTCGTCTTCTTTCCCCTCCCCACCCTCGTCGTCTCACCTCATGTCTTCAGTTTTGAGTCCTCCACCCACGCCCCTGCCTCCTCCCTCCCAGTCGCCCTCCAAAGCAGACTCTCCAAGCGCACAGGGAGGGGCAGGACATGTGGTCACCCAGGGCGGAGAATCCCTGGGCGGACTTCAGTTTTTCCCACCTCGCATTCAGCCTGCCGGGATGATCTGGAAGTTCCCCCTGCTGTCGCATTGCTTCTCGCAGGTGGCAGCTGACCAAAGCGACTCCAAGTGTGGCCTGAGGTCCTCTCAAGGTGACCAGGCTGGGAACGCTACAGGTAGAACCATAGGCCGACATGCTTTGCTTATTAAAGTGTAGAAGAGCACACACCAGGTCTAAATGAAAGGAGTTTACTCTCAGGTTAATACCCACATGTAAATTTACGGGACGTGTGGGTTTCTGTGGGTGTGCTTGTGAAGTTTCCCATTTCCCACATGCAAATTGCAGTTTCGCTTTTCACGTCTGACATTTCTTAAAACTTAAGTTGAAAGTTCCATCTTTTCACTGCTTTTCAACATTTTGCACATCTAGTAGAGTGAAATCAAGTCTGTGCCGAGTCTGTTTTGTCCTTCTCACAACTTGTGTTAAGTCTTTCAGAATTATTTCAACAAGAGATTAACTACTTCAAGTGTTAACATAACCCCATTTTTTGTTGAAGTGACTCTGAAAGAGTTTAATTAAAACCACTTGTGAGAAGGACTAAATGGACTCGGCCAGATTTGCTGTCCATTCGGTTGCTAATGCTTCTAAAAACAGGCCAAGGACTTTAAAAAAAAAATACTCAGTTGTTTTTTTGTTGTTGTTTTTTGCAATAACTTTACGTTTTTGGGTGTCTGGAAAGAAGTTTCACAAAGATTGTTAAGTGACATTCGACTGGAACATTGGCAACCTAACAACCACAGCAGAGCTCAGTCGGTTCCTTAGCAACCTGAGCTGAGTTCCAGCCGGTTACCTAGCAACCTGAGCTGAGTTCCAGCCGGTTACCTAGCAACCTGAGCTGAGTTCTAGACGGTTACCTAGCAACATCAGCTGAGTTCCAGTCGGTTAACTAAGAACCTGAGCTGAGTTCTAGTCGGTTAACTAGGAACCTGAGCTGAGTTCTAGTCGGTTAACTAGGAACCTGAGCTGAGTTCTAGTCGGTTAACTAGGAACCTGAGCTGAGTTCCAGCATGTTTTGTGGGCTGGTCTTATCCGCCCTCTTATCAGTGGCTGCTGATAAGTGTTTTGTTCAGACTACTACTTTTCATACGGTTGTTTAATTACGCATCTGTTTGCCGCCATTTTCACGTTGGAGTGTAAACCTTGAGGCCAGCAGCAGCTTATTTTAATTTAAAGTGACAAGAGTCCATAAAACAGCTCATTCTGGTCAATACAGGCAGAACTGAGCAGACTAAAAAAATCTCATTATCAAGTAATGATATTGTGCAAAAAAATGTAATGAACATGTTTTGTAGCCAATAGACGTCTCCTAACCTGTTCAAGGAAGCAAAATAGGTCAGCTTAAAATTTAAATGAGTGAATAGTTCTGCTTCTGAGGGACAAAGTTTCTGTAGCCTTTTTCTAATCCCTCCTTGTTTTTTAAATTCATCTCTTCAGCCACTTGTGACGTTCTCCAGTCTCCTGAACCGTCATCCCTCACTTCTTCAACCCATCGCTCATCCCTCCATGCCACCAGTCCGTCCTCAAACGCTCCTTTCTCTCTTCCGTTTCACCCGTTCTCCGGGAAGCATCACGAAACCACGGAAAATGCATCTCCTTACAAAGCGACCCAGAAAATAAAGACTGAACCAGTCGGTCTGGACCAACAGCATCCCCAGGTACAGTACAGAGTTTTGTTTTTATCAGCACCAGTAAGAAAACAATGAGGGTGATTAAAAGAATAATTGGATTTTGTTTTTTTATCCGCTTTTTAGTTTAGTTGCATAAATAAAAAAATTTTTTAATAGTGAAAAATTTGTAAAATTTGCTAATTTGTTTGTTCTTATTGGAAAATCAGAATCACTTTCTTTCCATTGCCAGTAAACCAGTTCACAGGGTAAGAAATTGTTTTGTTGCAATGATACAAAAATACATAAATAAGTAAATAATAAAATAAAATATGAATTTGAAAAAAAAAAATCAAATATAACTTATGTATTTCTAGCAACCTAAATGATATTATTTGACTGACACGATAATCAGTGCGATCCTTGAATGTGAGATTCTCCAGGTTTAATTCTAGAAAGACGGCTGTATAATGACTATCAGACCTACAAATATCTGCTTTAGGCAGGCTAAGTGGAATATCATCAACAAAGAATGACATGGCACTAAACATGATGTTCAAGAAGAAGCAGGTATGTGGAAAACAGAAAGAGGCTGAGGAGAGATCCCTGAGGAACGCCACGTTGAGGTCATCCTCAAACTTAACTGATAAAGTTAAGTTTTTCTCTAGTAATGAAGATCAACACATTTACCCCAATCAAATAGGATTCGTTTGTCTTTCCCATTTTGAAGATGGTTAAAAGAATCAGTTACTTCTTGATTAAATTTACTCAAATTAAAAGTTGCATTTTCAAAAGCTTGAGAGTCAGATTATATTTCTCCAGTGAATTTTTTTGTCTCTCTTTTACAGAAAATGTTAATTATGACAGGTAAAACAAGTAACAGGATAATGTATATAGTTTATATTTTAAAGATTTCCTGTGCTTGTTTTTGTGCTGCACAGGAATGGAGCAGCTCGTTGTAGAGGCTGTTCAGTTATTAAACAGAAACCAAGCGATCGGGATCGTGACATGCCACTGCGATCGTTCAGTTTATCTTCAGAAACATTATCACAGATTACATTTTTTTCAAATCTGCAGCCGATGTTTGCATATTGCTATCATTGTTAATCAACTAAACCCTGTAAACGGGTTAGCATGTAGGCAGGCGGCGCTCGCTGCACCTGGAGGAGCTTCAACTTCACTACAGATTCCAAAACCACAGCCTTATTTTTAGACGTGTTTAACAGATAAGGCGCGTAAATAAGGAGGATCGAGTGTGAAAGGTGGGATGATGTTCCTGCCGTGGAACGAGGCTCATGTCGGCACATAACGGGAAGTTATCTTTGCTCTTCTAGAGAGGAAATGATTTTGTTTGTTCAGATGCTTCTAAGATAAGTTACCTTTCCTCTCTTGACCTAAATCTAACTTTACTCTGTTTGTTACATTTGCATGATTCCAAAAGAAGCAGTAATAGTGAACTCCTTGCCTTTTGTTTTGCAGGAACAAGCTGTACGCGTCTACACTGGGAGGCCGTTTCCAAGTATCCTTCGCTCCAAAAGGGCTCAGAATCGGAGCCGCTACACTCCTCGGCCTCTGCTCAATCCTTCCCGCAGGGCTGCAGGCCTCTTCTCGACCCTTTCATCTGTTCACCGCAGCGGGGAAGAAACAGCATGGGCCGAGGAGGAGGAGGAGATATGTGGGTTACCGTAAGTAAAGCACACAAACAGGCCTTTACAAAAGATCACACCTTGTTTTCTAGCTGGAGAGCAGAGGTGACAGACAAGTCAAGTTTACTTCTATTCAGGCCTGTTGCAATAGATTTATTGTAAATAAATGATGATAATTTAAGATAAACTCAATCATTTCCATTTGCATGATTTATTGCTTTTTTCTTTTCTCTCTTTTTGTCTAAAACTGGATGACAGATGTCTTCAGTCGGGTGCTTTGGACTCAATTATTTTTAAAAGTATAATTATGTTTACAGAGACTTCATAACTCATTTTATTTTTTTGTTTCTGTTGTTTATTTCCAGTTCCAGTGTTAAATGTTTTTTAGAATATAAGGTTTATTGATCTTGCATTATTATGCCGTTACTATTATATCACTTGGAAATGGTCTCAAAACAACAATGTTATCATTTATTGCAATAATTTAAGAAAAATGTATCATCCAGTAAAACTTGTAATCATGACAGGTCTAATAGTTTAGCACATTCAGCAACAAGGCAGTTCAAAATGCTTTACACCATAAAAACATAACACCGTTACCAATTAGGAAACAAGCAACAAACATTGCATTTTCTCAAAAGCTATCACCAAAGTCGTCAAGCCAACATGCATCAAAAATTATGATCAATGTTTCTTCAATGTTTTTAACCCTGGAGATGATTCTCAGGTGATAGAAGGCCGACTTTGTGACTGTCTTTATGTGGCTCTGGAGGTTCAGAGGTCACTAGTTTGGTGTTTTCCTCTCAGATATGTCAACGTGGGTCCGGACTTCCAAGCCGATGTTCCTCCTTGCGTCGGGGACGGTGAGTGTTCGGCTTCCTGGATCTCGGAGGAAGACTCCCCTGGAGAGCAGCTGGTGTGGAAACCCTGGGACGAGCTGCAGGAGAGCGCGAGAGTTCAGTGCCACGGTAAGCTGCAACGCCTGCTGGGCAACTTTTATCTAAGCCTGAGTGAAGCCCCAGCTGGATGGAGTCTACATTTTAATTCTTTGTGTTTTATCTGCAGTGGAGAAGCTGCTGTCTATGTGCAGTTCCAGCTGCCTGCCAGGAGGGGGCAGTAACACGGAGCTAGCGCTGCACTGTCTCTACTACTGCAAGGGGAACACAATGGTAAGAACAGATGGTTTTATTGTCTCACAGGGGATTCTTTTTTGTATTTAAAGGTTTTACCAATTTTATCCTTCTTTATGAATCATTCCTAAGCTCTGTGCATCTTTTCCTTTGATTAATTTCCTTTTGTTTGTTCTGCAGGCCGCGTTGGAGATGCTGCTGTTTTCACAGCCCTCACCAGTAGCAGACTACCACTACTCAGGTAAACTCTCAGGTTCCCTCTTTATGTCAGTACTTCTGCTAAATTAATATTGCATTGCAATTCCAAAATCCAAAAGTGTGAAATTTAAAACATTAACCTTTGATTTTAGTTTCGGAAGAAACATAGCACACAGAATTTTATTTATTTATTTGTTTTATTTAATTTTTTTTATGAACTAGTGATAAACGTTTTGGCACTCCCTAAAAATAACTAACAATGCCTGACTTTCTGTTTTCCAAATGTGTACATTTGACGCGATGGACTCTTAGCCACTCTTCAGTACGGGAAAGACAAGAAAACATTTGTTTTTCAAGCAAGTCAAATGTTTGTTTATCTTCATAATCTTCAAGAAAACGACCTACTGCTAAACCCTTATCAACAGTCAGAGTGCATTTTATGTATTTGGCTAAGTCTTATACTGAGACATTTAAGTAAAAAACACTCATAAAAAATTATATTTTGAGATTCCTATGGTGTCTCATACCACCTCACACTTTGCACACTTAATTATGTTACAACCAAAATCTCTGGTGCATTTAAATATGTTTACATCTATTCCGGGTTTGTTGTTTAAAACTGGGGTTTTTACCTCAAACCACCGTCTAGATTTAGCCTCATCACAGACGGTAGGCGTCAGGCTTGGTTTCATGAACCAGGCCAGCCCTTTAACCAGATATTTATGCTTGTTTAGGCAGAAGGTAAAGCTGTTTTTCCTGTTTTGTGTTTTACCAAATATTTCCGTAGAGGCTTAAACTCACCAGAACAATTTAAGCTAAACTTTCCTGAAGCATTCGCCAACAACTATGAGAATTGGCTTGCATGTGAAAAAGAGAAACCTGTTTCTGCTGCATGTACAGTGGAAGTCATTGTTGTAGGCTGAATTTCCTCCCACTTACATCCAATCCTCTCACCCGTTTAATTCCTCAAGGAGCCCAGAACAAAGCAGACATTGTTGTGTGTCAGTCAGGTGAGTGTGTTCCCTGTAAATGACGGTAGAGCGGCGCCTTTTCAGCTCCGTAAAAAAACAGCTTATTGGTGCTCAGACATCTCAAGTTCCTGACAGATTTACTGGCCATCATCTGTTTAGGAAAAAGTCTAAAATAAAAGGTCTTCAAGCAGCTGTTACATTAAACTTATGAAATTATATCTTTGTGTGTTTTTCTACACAGCAGGGAATCATGTCTGGATCCCAGCATGTCATGCATGATAGGATGACCTGGTTGTATTATTTATTTTCATTGTTTCCCCCTTTTCTCTCTATAGGCTGTGATTTCTGGACAGATGCTGAGAAGAATCTCTTCCACACGGCTTTAGGGACGTATGGAAAAGACTTTCCACTCATTGAGAAGACGGTAAGACAATGACACTGATATTCTTTACTAGAGCTGGACAATAAATCAATAACAACACACGTCGCGATGTCAATGTGATCAATATTAATAGATAAAACATCTGATAGGATTTAATATTCTAGAAGAAAGTCTGTAGCTGCTCAACCTCTCAAGGCCAGTTAAACAATGAATGGTTGGTGAAACTCAAAATAATTTTTTTTTTTAAGGAAATTTCTTAGATTAATCCAAAATGTCTGCTTTTTTCCAGAAAATGTTTGACT